TATTAATTTTTTTCAACTAATAAACTTTAGGTTATTCTGAGTTTTAATTTAAAGATTAAACAATATAAATACCCTTGTAAGACTTTTCAGGGATGTTGATCCATTTAAAAAAGGTAAATAATATTATCCCCCCTCTTTTGTTTACTTATAAAGTCAAAACTATAGATGATGAACCAATTCCATTATTTAGTCGTAAAAAAAATCATATCTGATTAAATTAAATTGTGCTTCTCAAACTACTTTGAATTATTAAGATAAAAATTAGCAAGAACAAAGTAGTATTTAATAGTTTTGGCAAGATGTTCAAATTTGTTTGCAGTAGATGGAAGCAATTGTGCAGATGAGTATACTATTAATACATACCTTTCCAAATATCATGAGTTTCTATTTCTAAATATTAGATTAAGTTAACTAAATTATATAACGAAAGAACTCAAATATTTCTATAAGTTATAATATACCAGTTTTGATGTTAAGTTGTATAAATTCTATTATAATAATAGGAAACCATCATTGCTAATTTCTGTATAATTAAGAGTCACTACTTAAGCAATTGATAAATATTTTTCTCAAAAAATAATTAACAACTATGTCAAAATTTACTTATAGTTTTGAGAGTTTTTATTGTTATCTTAATAGAATTGACAATATCTCTACTAAAGAGGAAATAACTCATCCAAAATTACGTTCAATATTTGACTGAAAATAGGGTTAATTGTCAAATAAATATTCCAATTGAAACATTTATTAGTATATTACAATACTAAATTTTTAGAGGATGAATTCTTAAATGATATTCTTACAATGTATTATCTATATTTCAATAAATAATAATTAAATCTATTGACTCAATTTCAAATTTCAAATGAAAAAGCAACAATTATTTAAAGGCTTCTATCGATAAATTAAAAGATTAGTATCGAATTCAAATGGAAAGGGCAAAAGAAAAATGTAAATATAATAATATATTGTATGAAATATCTAGAATTTAATTTATTGATGTAGCATTAATCTAAAGGTATTAAATGGGTGGAAAATTAGACTTTAATTAGATTCCTTTGGTAAGCATAAAAGAATCCAATAGTTTATGTGTTAAACCTGCAGAGTCTATTGATTTAGATCCTTAAGGTCAAAAAATAGACCCTCTTGAATTATTAATACAATAATGTTGAAAACTATAGTATTTATAATTTAAATTCATTTCTAAATTAATTAATAAATATTAATAATATCTAATTTAATCTAAAATTAATCTATAATTTATATTTATAAATCATGGTTGATTTAGATATTCATCTACATTAGGTAATTAAGTTGCTAATCCTTTTCTTTTACGAATACTTAGTACTATTTCATTAGCTTTGGATCCATGCTCAAATGGATCTTCACCCAAAACAGCCCAGTGATCAAATTGACATTAAGGAAATGCTTGACCTAATGTTAAAGATCTAAGATGTGCAACATAACCAAATGATTAAGCTACTGGTAAATAAGATTTGATTCTTGTTAGTTGTGAACCAACGATCTGTTCTTCTTCAATTATGATTCCTTGTCTAATGCTAAGGCATGAGTAAACTCCGCCAGTAACTTAATTTGGAACATTTACTTCAGTCAATAATATTGGTTCTTATAGTCTAGGCTATGCAGTTAACTCACAAGCTGAATACAGCCTACGAGCTGTTGGTATAATTTAACCATCTCCTCTGTGAATTGTTTCTGCACTCAAAACACAATCCAAGATATTGACTCTAACTCCTCTCAAATTTTCTTAACATAGAGCTCCTTCCTTGGTAGATTACTACCAAGCAAATTATATTGATTCTCTGATTTCATTTATGTATTGAACTGCTGTTGTTTGATCACATAAAATGTTTGGGCCAGTATCATCTGGTCCAAATGTCCAGATTTTCAAAGCCTCACTTTTATTCCAATTATATTCTTAGGCTAATATATTGGCTCGACCTTTAGAGTTATTAGTAATAAAACCTTTTTCAATAGCAATCTATAGATTTTCATTAAGTGATGTAGCTTAAGCATACAGCCTATTATGTTAATTAGCAGATTTTGCCATACAAACAACTTTAGAAGGAGCAGTAACAGTTTCCTTATAGACAACTATTGGATCAGTTTTCTCTAATTAAAGACCATTTAGATCGTCTTCAAGTTCAGTTAAAGCCTTTTATATATGCAATTCGCTGCATCCAGCAATAAAATGCTTACCCGAATCTTCAATTGAATATTCTATAGTTTGGTTTGTTTGAGTTAATCTTCTCAATCCTTCTATTAACCTAGGTAATTCACGAGGATTTTGAGGTGAAATAGCAATTTTGGTAACTGGAGAAATGGAACATTTAAGAGATCTGATTAAATGACATTCAGGATGATCGGATATTGTACTCGAAATTGTTAGAATATTACTATCTCCAATTAATCCAATGACATTCCCACATGGA